GATGGCTAGCACGGGCAGAACAATTCTTTGCCATTCACTGTACTCGAGAGGATTTGAAGGTGGCGACGGCTTTCATTAGCATGGAGGGCCCTGCTTTGCATTGGATTCAATGGCTTCAGCAACACAACCCCCTGCTCTCGTGGGTGCAATTCAAGAGCGAACTGCTCGAAGAATTTGACGGTGAACTGTCCGGCCCCCTGTTTGAACAGTTGGCAGCACTTCGCCAGGAAGATACAGTTGCTGATTTCACCAACGAGTTCCGGGCTCGGTTGGCACAAATCCCTGGCCTCGCATCACATGTTCAATTAGGATTATACCTAAATGCTCTTAAACCGGAAATTCGTGTAAAGTTCCGACCAAGTGACGTGGTTGATCTCCGGACAGCCATGAATGTCGCAAAATCTGTGGAACGGGAGTTGCTATTTTCAGCAACAGGTCGCCTCATGGGCGGCTTCAACAACGCTAAGGAAATTAAAATAAACTGGTCCTCCGATGTTGGGCAAAGTGGGATTGATGGGAGAACACCGTACGGCCCAACTAAACAGTCTTCCTTGTTTTACCCAAAGCCCCGGCCTGATAGATCCACCACTTCTCAGCCTGAAAAGCATCCAGGCGTGCACACCACTTCATCACACGGCCCACCACAACATTTTTCTTCTACTCTCCGACACCAGGGGCAACCTTCTGCGTCAAAACCAGTTCGCCGTTTCAGCAACCGTGAATATTTGGACATGCGGGCCAAGGGACAATGTTTTCGTTGTAAACAACAATATAGTCCTATGCACGTCTGCCCAAATAAATCGCTCCAGATCCTCATTGCAGAGGACGATGAAGATGAACTTTCCAAAGAGATGAACCCAACCGACTGCCTAGAGGTTGATCACCCGCCTGCAGACTCGTCCCAAATTTTTATCTGTGATCTGCCCTTGACAGCACTTGGAGGTATCGATGGACCCAAAACCCTAAAGTTTTTGGGTTGGGTCGCAAACCAGGAGGTGGTTATCATGGTTGACAGTGGAGCTAGCCACAACTTCATCTCGGAGAAATTAAAGGACCACATCAACCATCCCTTGAACGCCACACATCGCTTTGGAGTACGATTAGGAGATGGCAGACAAGAACAATCGTCGGGTAAATACTCACAGTTGCCGGTCAATTTGGGACCAGTTACAATGTCTTTAGATTGCTATTTGTTTCCATTGGGCGGCGTTGACATCATCCTCGGGATGGCTTGGTTGGAGACTCTGGGGGATGTCACTGCTAATTTTGCCAAGCAGATTTTAAAATTTAAGGTGGACGACCAGTTAGTGCAATTGGTAGGTGACCCATCTCTGTCTCGCCTACCCATGACGTTCAATTCTCTGGAACGCATGACTTACATCGATACTTGCTACCTCTTTTGGAGTTTGGATGACGTGTCTCTCTCAACTTATGAAGGTAGTGATATCTCCTTGGCTCAACAAACTCAGTTAACAACATTCTTACATACTCACTGCCAAGTGTTTGGAGAGCCACATGGTCTTCCCCCTTCACGACTACATGACCATCAGATCATTCTGAAGGATGGAACAACTCCAGTCAGTGTTAAGCCATACCGGTATGGGCATAGTCAAAAAAATGAAATTGAACGGTTGGTGGAAGACATGTTGCTTGCAGGTATTATACAACCCAGCTCTAGCCCATTTTCCAGCCCAGTTCTCTTGGTCAAGAAAAAAGATGGCAGTTGGAGGTTTTGCGTTGACTACCGTGAATTAAACAAAGCTACGGTGCCGAATAAATATCCCATTCCAGTCATACAAGAGATGTTGGATGAGCTCCACGGCGCCCGATATTTCTCTAAAATTGACCTTCGTTCGGGCTATCATCAAATTCGAGTGGCTCCTCAAGATGTGCCAAAAACAGCGTTCCGTACTCACTCAGGCCACTACGAGTTCCTAGTCATGCCTTTCGGATTGATGAATGCGCCAGCCACTTTTCAGCAAATTATGAATGACATTTTTCGTCCATACCTTCGACGCTTTGTCCTCGTTTTTTTTTATGACATATTAATATATAGTGTGACGTGGGAAGACCATTTGCAACATCTTACTGTGGTGATGGGCATTCTGAAGCACAATCAGTTCAAGGCAAATGAAAAAAAGTGCAGTTTTGGAAAGACATCAGTAGAATATCTTGGGCATATTGTATCCCAATTCGGGGTAGCTATGGACCCTTCAAAAATCAGCAGTGTGCTTCGTTGGCCCCAACCGCAATCTTTCAAGGCTGTCCGGGGATTCTTAGGGCTCACTGGCTACTACCGTCGGTTCATTCGGGATTATGGTAAGATTGCGCAGCCTCTTACTGCCTTGTTGAAGAAAGATTCTTTAGCCCGATTTCAGTGGTCGCAACCTGCCCAATCAGCTTTTGAGGCACTGAAAGCGGCAGTAACCTCTGCTCCTGTTCTTGCAACCCCAGATTTCTCTCTACCATTTCTGATTGAATGTGATGCCTCCGGTACAGGGGTGGGGGCTGTTTTGATGCAAGGACTACGTCCTATTGCATATTTTAGCAAGGCATTGTCCGGTCGCACGTTGGCCAAATCTGCTTATGAGAAAGAATTGATGGCGCTAGTTTTAGCCATTCAGCACTGGAGGCCATATCTTATAGGCAGAAAGTTTGTGGTCAGAACCGACCACAGAAGCCTACGACATCTACTCCATCAGAGAGTCACCACACCCTCTCAACAAGATTGGATTTCTAAGCTCCTGGGATATGATTTTGAAATTACATACTAACCAGGGAAAATCAACAATGCAGCAGATGCATTGTCACGTCAGCATGAGACAATGCACTTATCTGCGATTTCTCTACCAGTTTGGGCGGATTGGAGTGAGTTAGAATCAGCTATCTCTAGAGATGCTTATTTGCACTCTATTTATGAGCAACTCCAACGCGACCCCGCCAGCAGCCCACCATTCCAGTTGATTAATGGGCGACTTTTTTACAAGGGTCGAATAGTTCTCCCAGCCAATTCACCTTGGATTTCGAAGCTTCTAGAAGAATTTCACTCAACACCTATGGGAGGTCACTCTGGAGCCTATCGAACCTACCGTCGTTTGGCCGCGAACGTGTACTGGAAAGGAATGATGAAACGGGTGCAGCAGTTTGTATCTGAGTGTCTCATATGTCAAAAAAATAAGTATGAGACCTTGTCACCAGCTGGGCTTCTTCATCCACTGCCCATTCCATCTGCTATATGGGAAGACATTGCTATGGACTTCATCACGGGCCTCCCTCGCTCCAATGGATTCGATTGCATTTGGGTGGTCATTGACCGCTTCACAAAATATGCACATTTTGTGGGACTACGCCACCCGTTTACTGCCAGATCTTTGGCAGACGTGTTTGCCAAGGAAATTGTTCGCTTACATGGGGTACCACATTCCATAGTAAGTGATCGGGACCCAATTTTCTTGAGTAACTTTTGGACTGAATTTTTTGCCAAGTTAGGCACCAAACTGCGGATGAGTACGTCATATCACCCACAAACCGATGGGCAGTCAGAGGTTGTTAATAGGTGTCTCGAACAGTATTTAAGGTGTTTTACTTCCGAGCAGCCAAAGCAATGGGGTCACTACTTGCATTGGGCAGAATACTGGTACAACACTTCCTTCCAGGGAGCCGCGGGGTATACCCCTTTTCAGACACTGTATGGGCGAGCAGCACCAACACTAGCTCAATATTTACCGGGGGAATTTAAAGTGGCTGCAGTGGCAGATGATCATGAGGATTGCAATGAGATTCTACGGCAGCTCCGTTACAATTTGGAGCGGGCTCAACAGCGAATGGTTAAAGTTGCCAATGCCAAACGTCGCGACTTGGAATTTCAGGTGGGTGACAAGGTCCTCCTTAAGCTCCGACCGCACAGGCAGACCACAGTGCAGAAAAGGATCAATCAAAAACTGGCCCCAAGATATTTTGGTCCTTTTGTCATCATCCGTAAATTAAGTGCAGTTGCTTACAAGCTTGCACTTCCCCCATCAGCTAAGGTCCATCCCGTTTTTCATGTCTCCCAACTAAAACGAGTTACTGGAGAACATCCCGCTCTAGCAGAACTTCCAGAGGATTTGGTGGTTGAAGACCCAGTGTTCGTTCCTCATGATATTATAGCTTCAAGAAAAATGAATGGGGTCCATCAGGTTTTGGTTCACTGGGAAGGCAGACCTACCGATGAAGCCACCTGGATGGATGCTGCAGATTTTCGCGGTCAGTTTCCCCACACCAGCCTTGTGGACAAGACTGTTTCCTTGGACGGCGGCAATGATACACGTGCAAGTGGCTGGATAGTATATTCTAGGAAAAGGAAAGGCAATCAAAGGTTTATGGAAACAAATCAGGAGCAAATCAATAAGGAGACATAATATAAAGAAGAGCACAATTAGTGGGATTACTCATTAATGGCTACAGTAGCACAATTTAAGGGATGGGACATCTATATTGATACACTTACTTTATTTATGCAGAATAATCTATTATAAATAAGGTCCTAGACTAGGAGAGGACGATATGTGGAGTCATTACAATAATTTAGAATAGTTGGGCAGAGGTTTATCTCTGTTGGAGGTTGCCTTCTAGGTATACCTTGTCGTTGTTATCTCTTTTTTTTCATTTCCGGAATAAAGAATAAAGATTTGCTATTCTGATTTAAGACCATCCTGCTTCTTTACTCTATCAGATCTGGATTAGTTTCGGTTCTAGACCGGTTCCTAACTGCTAGATCTTTCAGGAAAATAATTGCTAGCTTTTTGTAAAGAACTTTACTCCTTAAAGTGTTGGAAAATATTTACTACTTCAATGTAAAAGATCCTCAATTCCTATATAATCATCCGAGCTGACAATTTTACGGTGTTCCTATTTATGTGCTAAGCAATAATCATCTAATTTAAAAGTGAAGACCTAGTATGGTTGCTTGGTCAACTTTGAAATTGAGTATATATAGACGGATCCATGATTTATAGGACCAGTTTTTTCATCGGCTATTAACACTAAATAGGAGTAAAATTACTCATAAATGCAAATATATGACTATTCTCCTTTTATTTCCAAAAATAGGATTATTATATGGTCCATATATATTAAAAACATACCATCATTCATGCATGTAATACGAAATCTTAGAGACTAGTTTCAGAAGCTAGACACACTACAAAGCTTGAATGTTGACAAGCTAGGTACATCAAGGGGTAAGGTTGAGAGCACGTCTATAGCCTGCTCCTAACAAGTCCAGCACTGCCCTAAGTTGTTTTATCGTAATGGGTGTTCCTCCTTGCACATTCTAAGATTGTTTTGTCTGCGGTGATGAAGTACGCAGCAATGGAAGCTGTAAAGCAGAATGTAAAATTGGGTTAGCTACTCAGCTTCTTATATAGAGCTTGGAAAGATAAAAGGATCATCCAAAAATTTGCCCAGCTTACAAAAAATGTAAGACTGATGTTGCAAAAGAAAAACAATAGACACCGAACTCAGTGGCAGATCAGGACCTGACACCTAGTTGGGGTTAGGACTATGCAATTTCTTTTAGTTTAATTTTTTTTAGTATTTAAGTGAGGTTCTTTTGTGGGGGAGGGGGTTAGGGTGTCTTATACTTTTGCACTTCTGGCTCACGATATTACGTACTGTTGGTGATTCAACAACTTCCCCTGTCAATTACTGAATCAAATACAATAATTGGTTGATTTTCAACACATAGTAACCAGAAAAGACCAAAAACCTCAAGAACTCCATAATCGGAAAAAACATGTAATGCGGGGACCAAAGTGGAAGTGGCTAATAGACACGAGACCCAAAAGGGTGGAAATTTTCTTTAGTGGCTGTTTACATACCTGAAGATATAATAAGTGCCTGAGCAGTGTAGTTGAGATTGGCCTTTGCCCAAGGAATGGTTCTGACTGCAACTAACTGAAATATTGAGAAAACAATTGTGAGCTAAAGACAGACAAATCCAGCAAAGCTGGGAAAAAATTGTTCTATGACACAAGCTACTGAAGGGGTGAAGGGCGCATTTGGTTCATGGAATGTTATTTTACCCGTGCAATGTAATTAAGGTAATGTAACATAGGTTACATAGCCAACCTAGTTTGGTTCATGTAATCGGATTGCCGCAGTAATAATAATTACCGCCAGGTTTGGGTTTTAAGTAAAAGAGAGAAAGTTTCTTCTGTATCGTTGTTAGATTATCTGGTAATATTTTATACTGTTCTGAGTTTATAAATTGACAACACACATCATATCACGTTCTGTGAAATAAACAGTTTGAGGTAATTTCCTACTCTTGTAATCACACAATCCCCTTACCTGCATTAATCAAATCGCCAAATGTAATTGTGCATCCTCTGAACCAAACACCCCTAATTAAATCAAGAGATATTCGGCTTACAGGTTTAACAAACAAAAACAAGAGGGTATAAGTTGCTCCAAAGTATTGGTTCTTAGTAATTTAAACTCTATACTTGTGCAAGGCTTTGTTATCAAGCCAAGCGTCATAAGTTGCTCGAGTTTTTTTTGTTGGAAAAGTAAGGATTCTCCTTCACAAAACTGATTTAGTTTTCAAATTAGATATACGTGAAAATAATTGGGAGGCAGAAGGGCTGAAATATAAGCCAATACAACAAGTTAACAACATAAAAAATTACAATAATACTAATAATAATTATTATTATTATAACAATAACGAAATATAATACAATAATGATACCAATAAAAAATGACATGCATATTTGGATGTGAAATGTGAACAGTGGATACCGTTGGAACCGCACTACAAAAGCATGCAATTCCGGCAGCTTTGACCCCAGCACGTACGCCCTCTGCACAGTTTAGAAGGGAAAGCAAGCCCATTAAAACTATTCTTTCAGTAAATGAAAATGAACTAAGAATTAAGTGATGAACCCCAATTTTTAAAAAACTTTGACTTTGCACCCCATCACATAACATTCTGTGAAGAAAAATTTGTGAATGGGGTGCAAAGTTAAAGGATTTTTAAGTGAAATGGGGTGCAAAGTCAAATATCACCCCAAAAGTGGGGTGCAAAGTCAAATTCCGCCTATAACAGAGGATATCAAATATGCCACTTCAGAAAAGATGAAAAATGCATGCATGTTTGTTGCCCCTGCCCAGCTTAAAATCTTATATCTCCACTTAAAGTAATAGGATTTGGTCCTAAATTCCTGCACCATGCATAACCATGAAATTGTTTTTCTTAAATATATTTCTGAGCTTATCTGCTCAAAAAATAAAAGTTTTGCAACCACTAAAACCATGTCTGGTTGCTGAGAAATCATTCTCATCCGGCCTTGCTTATTCTGAAAAACAGCACAATCCATCTTTTGGTTGGTGATAAATCATTTTCTTCCTTATTCCAAAAAATATCACACATTCACACTTCACTGTTGGGTTGGTGCATTCATTTTTTCATTGGAGAATTATTTTCTTGACTTTGAAAAATAATCCAACCCCTCGGATTATTTTCCCCGTGACATAAAGAAAAAGGAAAAAAATGCATAACTGGACATTAATGTCCAAGAAACTGGTAATTGACATTGATATAAAGTAATAGGCTAAAGGGTCAAATAGGTACATGAACTAACTTAAAGTGTTCAATTAGCCCCTTATATAGGAGGTTCCACCCGACCGTCGCCAATTGGGGTGATTCCCGGTGGAATTTTTTGATGAAATTTTTTGAGCATCTTCTTCATTAAGTGTAATTTACCCATACCAAATTTGAGCTAAAAATTCAACCGGGAAGGCAGTCAAATGATTTTTGAAGATAACTGCGCAGTTAAACAACGCAGTACATTTCGGAAAATCATTCGACTGCCTTCCCGATTTATTTTTTAGCTGAAATTTGATATGGGTAAACTAGACTTAATGAAGAAGTTGCTCAAAAAATTTCATCAAAAAATTCAACCGGGAACCGCCCCAATTGGCGACGGCCGGGCAGAAACTCTTATGTAAGGGGCTAATTGAACACTTTAAGTTAGTTCATGTACCTATTTGACCCTTTAGCCTAAAGTAATATTACCTCTGTCCCATTGAACATTGTCAACTTTAAGTTGGGTGTGAAATAAGAAAAGTAAAAACTTTGTAGTTGAGGTTTGTGCAGAGGAAAGTGAAATTGAACCACAAATTCAATACTTTAAAAGGAAAGTGACAAAAATTTTGAGACAAACAAAAAATGAAAGTGTTACGGACCTAGCCCATATTAGGCCCATAGCAGTGCCATAAGCCCATGTGTAGAACTCACTCCTAAAAGAGTAGCCGATTAGAATCTGGGAACACATTGCTTATAAGCCACCGGTCAAGCCCATACTTGACCGGTGTGGGATCGTAACAATACCTCACGCTTCGAAGAGCCAACGTCCTTGTTGGTCACGGCTATGTTGGTCACGGTTGGCACCCCCCAGGGCCCAAGCCACCACTCCATAGGCCACCACTCCGAGTGTCAGGACAAGAAAGATGGGGACGGCTCTGATACCAATTGTACGGGCCTAGCCCATATTAGGCCCATAGCAGTGCCATAAGCCCATGTGTAGAACTCACTCCTAAAAGACCAGCCGATTAGGAGGAGGGAACACATTGCTTATAAGCCACCGGTCAAGCCCATACTTGACCGGTGTGGGATCGTAACAGAAAGTTGGCAAAGTCCAATGGGAAGGAGGGAGTACATTTTAGTGAAAGTATAGAAATATTGGTCTTTACACAACTTATACAGACATACAGTTATAGCATTATCACATAAGAGCAGACCAAACAATGAAATACATACTGCCAATAGTTTATACCCACCAACCAAACACTGGAATATGAATTCTTTCTCTAATCGTTATACCCCTCCAAAGTGGCTGAAAAATGCTAGAGTACAAATAGGTGTCAGAATCCTCTTTACAAGTTGTTGCAAAGTTTAGGCTTTACTGAAGCCTCTGTCCGGCTTCCAAGAAGCCCCATTTGGGCAAAACAAGGACTATAAAGCTTTTTCCTAAAACAAAGAATATCTTCAGTGCCTAAGTGAGGGCACTCATTCAACTCTATTTAAATCATTACCTTCTCTATTCAGTTTTGCTTAATTTGAACTACATAAAATTTAAAGTAGCTTATTTTTCTAAGGAGAAATATATAAATGAAACAGTGAAACACGTAACTTTGTTTCTCTTTTACCAATAATTTGACAAAACTCGTGGTACATTCATTCAAGGCATACTGCATACACGATGAAAAATATAGCTATCATATTCCATGATATGCGTGACAATGTTCCAATATCAATCCAGTAATTGGGACACCAACTGTCTCAGCACATTGTCCTCTTATTGTCATGCAGGTGGATCTTATGATGGTGCCGTTTCAATATTTCATCTCATTATATGTCCGTTGCAAAGAAGTTGCGGCGTGAAGTCCTAGAGGTTTGTGATGAATACTACCCCATAGTAACTTGGGGGATTATTATGTGGATGATTGACAGTGATTTGTAATTTTTAACAAATGCTGATGGAGAATATGTTGAAATTTGAAAATATTAAAAATAGGACAGGTCTTTTCCAGACTAAAACCAGCCCAACCTGATACCAACGATTGATCTTCCTCCCTTCAAATAACAATATAACATTATATCTCTTTCTGATCCCAATTAAAACCCCACCTGACCTGGCCAGATCCCACACATGGACCTCCCACTGCCTGGGTGTAACTTTCATCAAAGAGCACAGTTACTAATATAACTGAGGATATGGTGATTTGGGCATAGAACATCAAGATGAACTGTAAAGACTTGTATGTGGAAGGATATTACTGATTTTTGAAAAGCATAATATTACTTTCAGATAGGCAAAGCACATTTCGTTAAAACATGTAACTAGCTTGACATTCTGCACTAATCAATTTAAAATTTTTAATTGTTAAATGGATCCACTATCCTTATAGCTAACAAATGAATATCTTACTAAGTAATTTAACGTCTCTCAATGAAAAACTACAAACGAGCTGCTCGTAATTACAACAGTATCCTGTCAATTGGTACAGAAGATAACCTCATTTGAGCAATTCAACAATGAATAGTGAATCCCATAAACACAAAGGCCACTCTAATTGCAAAGCAACCAAAACACTTAGGTAAATCAAAAAGGTGAAAACTTCAATAAGATAAGGAAATCTGATGGGGGTGGGGTGAAAAGTGGAGACATTCAAAACCTTGAGTACACTGTTTGCTCCTGCGGATCTTCGCGTCTTCATGTGGAGAAGCAATCAAGAAAGGCCTGTGTCCTTCTGAATCCTGATATCTGGTCGGAGTGCCACTCACCATGGGTATTGGTCGGACAAAACGGCCGATCATACAATTCCATAAACCGCCCATAGTATAAAGAAGGAAGAGTTTTGAAATTTACAGTACGATCCGTTCGATTCAAAATTTTAATGTTACGGATGAGGGGCGACAGCCCAGCTATTCCATCTGAGGCTGCACTCTGGACACTACAACTTCTCTGTACAGGAAGTATGACATAGTTTTAGTGGCCTTCGTCGTTGAGCTCAGTTATAAAAGGGGAAAGGTACACATCTTCCCTCTACAAAAAGTCTTGTGTACGCCCTGGGTTTATTTTTTACTGCTTTCTTTACCCTCCTCTCGCACAACACTCCCATTCCCAATTCCTCACACACCTTTCTTTCTCTCCCACATGTCTTTCTGTTCGTTCTCTTCTTCCCGTGATTCTCTCCGTTTTTTTCAAATCTCATGGATGATTTTCTAGCATATTTGATGGTGGATGGAGAAGTGATCGGAAACAGCGGAGGTTTGGAAGATACCGACGATGGACAACACAAATGGAAGAAATGCAGAAGCTCTGAACGTCGCTGTGAACGAGGAAGATGGAGCTGCGACGGAGGACAGAAATGGTGGAGCTGTGAACGAGGAAGATGGAGCTGCGACGACGGAGGACGGGTGGCGGACCTGTGACACAAGGCGTCAACGAACTTCCGATACTTGACGGTTGGGATGATTACAGCTGCGATAGGGAAGAGAATAGCAGGGAGAAGACGAATGCTGATGTTGGAGGTATTTTCTTTGACACACAGACAACTTACATACTCAGTGTCGGTGTGTACCGACAACTAGTGTCGTTGTGTACAGAGTAGTGTCTGTATGTGTAGACAACTGAAGAAATCCTCATTGAGTTAATGTATACCTACAAAGATGAATGTTTTATCTATAGATGAGTTAATCACTAGTATTCAATTTACCCTTATTCAGATTTGTTAAGTGGAAAATTTATAGAGGAGTTGTTTTTAATGAGGGCATTGACAATAATAAAGTATTCAATGTTTGATTCAATTTATCACCCTAGTGATTGACTTGGTCAACGAGTCATTGTTTGAAAAGCAAGGTGTATTTGATTTATATGTGCGAGAGTATAAATTTGGGTTCCTATCTCTAGCTAGTTGGCTAACTAGTATTGGTTTCATCATAAAAGTTGAGTGTTGCAAACCATTAAAATTGATTTCAGAATTGCTTTCTTTTGGCTAGTAAGTTTTGATAGTGATTGCCAAGGTTTATCATGAAAGTTATGAAATGGAAAGATTACTAGTTTTCATTGTGGTTTTTTTCCTATAATAAGTTCTTGTTTTGTAGACAATATTCACTTTGTAAGTGTTTGTGTGCCAATATGGTTTAATTTGTAATTGTTTGTAAGTTGTTATGTAACATTACCGAAGTATATGTTCTTTTTTTGTGAGTTATATACAAAAGTGGGAGATTGATGAAGTCATCTGTGTTTCTGCATGTTCGTAAGTGTTTGTGAAACAATGTGTAATTGTCTGTGTACACCAACATTAATGTATGTACACTTCTTATTGTTAACTTTGTCGACACTGGTTGTACTTGCAGCACTAAAGAGTTTCGAGTCATGGTCATGATGTTTGCGAAGAATTTGCTGTTGCAATTACCATTAATATCAGGTTGTGACTACGACAACATGTGGCACGTTAGATGTCAATTTGCTATATGACTTTGGCATTTGAAGAAGAAACCCGATTGACATTTATTGCTCATTTTTCACTTGTAAATATGTTGGAGATGAAGTGGGGTAGTGAATGTTTAAGTTTTAGATTTGGATTTGAACATGACATTAAGTTTGTTGTAATGTAATTTAAAGTTTCTTTAATTTTTATACTTGTGTGACTTAAAGACAACTTCTATTACTACTCGTGAACTTGGACCACAAGCCCCAAGCGCAAATGTATGAATTTTATAATTAAATTTGAACATGACATTGGGTTTGATGTAATGTAAGGATCATTTTTTATGCATTTGGACACTGTTATAGGTGACTGGTGACATGCTTGTTATAACTACACATTAAGTACTTATAAACAGACACTATTGTGATTATTGTCCGTGTGCACCGACAATAGTGTCAAAAAACAGACACTATTATCGGTGCACACAGACAAAAATAACAACACACGTATTATTGTCGGTGCACACAGACAATAATTACAACAACACATGTATTACTATCGGTGCACACAGACAATAATAATAAACACACCTATTACTATCGATGGACACAGACAATAATAACAACAACAGACGTATTAATGTCGACACACATAGACAACAATAAGTATGTTAATATACAATATGTTACCACAAACACATTTCCATTACACAAACTTATTGTCCAAAGCATCACAAACTCAGTCAAAAGTCAAAACAACATGATTCTAAACAATGTGGCCTTTAAGTCGTACTACTCCCTACTGCTCCTTATAAACATGTGAAAGACTCTTGATCTATGGGAGTTGATCACCGCCTAATTGATCGAGTAACATTACATCTACATACACCATGCTAGCACTGATTCATCCGTCTCCACTTGATTTAAACTATAGAAAAGGCAGTTTCTGTGAACAGCTTCTGTGAACCAACTGCAAAGTTTTAGAATGAAAAAAACACACATAAGCCACATGCGATGATAGAAGACATCTGAATATAAAAGTGCATCAACATTAAATATGGCTCTACTGCAAGCTTGTATTTGTCAATTAATTAGGCCGTAAAGACCAAACACCCAACAAGATGTACAACTTATTCTTATAGAATTAAGATACAAAACTGTTGCAAGATTAATTAAACTTCCAGCTATAATTCCCTGTTGATTTGTACCCTAAGAAAAAAATAAGCCTAAAATGAATCTTGATATATACATGGCTCCAACCCTAAGCATTAAAATCAGTTTCGTTCAGTCCACTTTAACCTTTCATTTTCCACAATACCAACATCCTCCCTCACACATTCTCCCTTGAGTAAGAACACAACTTATACAAAAAAAACGAGCATGTCTTTTCTTCTCTAAAACTTGGAGCTGATTGTCTTGATACCATTATTGAGGTAACAACTAATTTTAGATCTCAACTTAACAACCAACGATAAACGAACTAACTACTTCTTTATTTAATAATAAAAATATGTTTTCACTTCTAATGCATTTTCCAAGGTAGAGGAAAATATGATAATTAAACTCCATGCAGTTCTAGGAAACAAGTAATCATAATAATGTCAATTATATACTCTCTATTATATATATGAACTCCATGCAGTTCTAGACAGATACAATTGTCGGTGCACACATACAATCATAACAATTATGCATATACTACTGTCAGTGTACACAGATAATAATAACTACACATATATTACTATCGGTGCACACATACAATATAATAACCACACAAATATTAGTGTCGGTGCACGCAGACAATATGAACAAGTCAAAAACAGGTATAACAAATTCAATCTGAGAGTGAACAAGAACCTCATGTAAGTGTACACCAACTACTTAAGCTATACACAAACAAATAAAAACAATTTATTCTCTCATTTTTCTAATAACTTGCACAAATACCTCACAGACAGTTTTGTACTCTTTCATAACAACTCACAGACAGTTCAAAGTCAAATCATCTTGCTACACCGACACTGCAATTCAAACACTTAACCAATATTGGTTCATACTTCGAATTTTAAACTTTTCATACACATACGCATCACCTAAAGTACAAACAAACATCATTAAACATCAAATTTAACAAAATGCATACATAACCACGAATATGTTCAAGTTAAATCCAAAAAACGATGACTTGAAACATACTGTACGTTGAGCCATGTCGGACAAGTTTGTTTCCACCATGGCCGCCTTTTTCTTTCTGCAACTGAGCCTAGATTTCGTCTTCAACAACATCAAATACCCAAATCAAATGGTTTCATCAATCTCCCACTTTTGTATACAACTCACAAAACAAAAGCACTTTAAAATGTACACAAACAAATACAAACACTTTCATATCACAAATAATAATATGAACAACAAAAACACACCAAATGGCTTCAATAACATGCCACTTTTGTATATAACTAACACAAAAAACTCACAGACAGTTCGCTAATCTTAAGTAAGATCTCACAGACAACTCTAAGTCAAACCATCCGGGGACACAGACACCGCAAATCTGCAATTGAAACACACAATAAACTATTGGTTCATACTTCCAATTTTATACTTTTCATACACATATGCACCACCTAAAGTACAAAATAACATCATCAAATGTCAAATGAATAAAACGTAAACATAATAATGAATATGTTCATCTTAAATCTAAAATAGAAAATAAAATAAAATAAAAGACTTGAAACATACAATTGAGCCATGTCGGACAAGCTTGTTCACACCATGACCGCCTTTTTCTTTCTATCTTTCTTTCTGAAACTGAACCTAGATTTCGTCTTCAAAAACATCTAATACCCACGCACCTATGCCTTTGACCGTCCGCCATCTACTAACTCCATCTTTGACGATGGAGTGGATGGAGTTTCGGAGCAATCCTCTCACGGTTGCCGGTTGTGGGAATGTGTGAAAGATGGAGAAAGAGGCTGGTAGGGAGGCGAGAAAGAAACTGGAGGGAGGCGGGGGTTTTTTCCCTCAAGAATGGAGCGGATGAGTTGAGACACGCGAGAGAAATTGTTGGAAGATAAAAAAGAGGGGTAATTTTTGGGGGAGAGTATATATATATGGTGTACCCCAGGGTGTAACCCAGGGTGTACACCAAGACTTTTTGTTCCCTTTATTTCTGAAATGTGTAAAAGTATTTGGTAAATTTACTTTTATTCATTTCAAATAAATAAAATACGTGGTACATTTTAAAGAAATAATTACATAAATATGATTAAAATAAAGATGGTTTACAAAAATATGATTCATTACTAGAATGGTAATGAAATCATAGCAATTCATGTTCAAGTTTTGAACTTTAGTTATCACAGCATTACGTTGTAATAATGAATAATCATATTTATGTAAATAAGTTTTATTTTAGTAATATTCTCATAAAAAACCTAATTTTAAAAGGAATTAAAAATAAATTATAAATTTAACATTAAATTTGAAAATAAAAACTACCGAGTACTTGTGTTCAATTTCCTCTTTTATTATATTTATATATCAGAATTTAATATTGTTAGTATAAAAAGTTGTCTTAAAATTTTACTATA